GAGTTCTCATCACACAGTGGAGGATTTTCAGGAAATGAGGGAGTCTTCTACTCCCCAGGAGCATCTGGACTTCATCGGTAATGCCAGGCGCTTCGACCCCTACAGCAACACTTACAATGAGGGGTGGTGCCAGCATCCCAACTTCTCCTGGGGTGGGGCAAATTCTAGACCACCAGTCCCCCAGGGGCCACCTGGCTTCCAGAGGCCTGCTTACCAGCCCAGACAAGGGCAATTTCAGTAGCCACAGCAACCTCTCTACCCGCCCTGATAGGGGCCAGTTCCACCTCAGTCACAGGTGCGGCCATTTAATCAGATAGGGCCAGCATCTACAGCCCCAGTACAGAGTGACCCGATGGCGGAATTGCGAGATCTGGTGGGTTCTCTGGCCTCCTCCAGTGCAAACAAGTTCAATAACATCGAGCATTTCATGGAGAAAGCTTCAGGTAAATTCATGGAGCTAGAAGCTGGTCAGAGAAACACGCAGGCTGTGCTGCGGGATATCCAGACCCAGCTTGGCAATGTTGCTCAGGCTATAGCTCAGAGGACTCCTGGTACTCTACCCGGTCAGACCATCCCTCATCTGCAGGACCCAAATGAGCACTACGAGGCCATCACTACCAGGAGTGGCAAGGTGACTGCTGATCCACCTGTTCGGGCACAAGAGAGAGAGACCCCTGCTCCAGCACTTCCAGCTAATGAGGAGGAAATGGAGAAGGAGGTTGAGGTGCCTGATCCTAAACCGCAACCAGTGGTGAAGGAGTATGTACCGCAGCTTCCCTTTCCTACTCGGTTGCACAAAGCAGGTAAACATAAGCATTCCCTTCGTGGAGGCATTATCGAGGATGCCCAAGTATGCCAAGTTCATGAAGGATCTCCTCACCAACAAGAGGAAGCTTTGGGGAGCTGTCAACGGTGATGCTCGACGAGGAGTGTTCTGCCATCCTGCAGAACAAACTACCAGAGAAGCGAAAAGACCCAGGGAGTTTCACTATCCCTTGCATGATTGGTAGTTTGCATATAGGGAAGTCATTGGCGGATTTAGGCCACAGCATAAACGTCATGCCATATAAACTGTTTAAAAAGCTAGGCCTAGGTGAACCCATAGATCCATTGTGCATCCTAGGTCCATTGCAAAGGACCTGATAGTCGCAGTAGGGCCATTCTCATATCCTGTTGATTTTGTGATTTTGGACATAAATGAGGATGTGGATGTGCCATTAATATTGGGTAGACCTTTTCTCGCCACCGCCAAGGCGCTCATTGATGTGAATGATGGGAAATTAATTTTGCGAGCTGGGGGTGAACAAATCACCTTCTCTGTTTCTGATAATATGAAACACCCTCAGCTCCATGATGATCTAGACCACTGTGATGTTGTTGCTGATTTTGAGACCGCACTCGCCATCACGAGTGCGGGTACTGACGATTTCCTTGAGCGTTGTATTTTGCTAGGGGAACAGCCATCACAGGACGTGCAGCTGGAGGAGCAGCTCGCGGAGCTAGACGAGGCCGCGATCGAGGGGCGAGAGATACCATTCAAGCCGATCCTTATCTCGCCCCGGATCACTACATCATTGGAGGAGCCACCAGAGCTGGAGCTTAAGCCCCTCCCCTCTCACCTGGATTATGCATTTCTCCGGGAGGGGAATAAGCTCCCGGTCATTATTAGCTCGGATCTGACACCCAAGCAGAAGAGCAGGCTGGTGGCTCTGTTGCAGAAGTATGCCCAGGCCATGGCATGGAAGATCACAGATATCAGAGGCATTAGCCCATCCTTCTGCTCCCACAGAATTCTGATGGAGGATGAGGTTAAGCCAGTCAGACAGCCGCAGCGGAGATTGTCTCCTAACTTGGAGACAGTGGTCCGGGCAAAGATTGTGAAGTTCATGGATGCATGGATCATCTTTGCTATATCTGATAGCAAGTGGGTCAGCCCCACTTAGGTGGTCCCGAAGAAAGGCGGGATGACTGTGGTCCCAAATGAGAAGAAAGAGATGATCCCGATGCGGACCGTGACCGGCTGGAGAGTCTGCATCGATTACCGGCGCCTGAACGACGCCACCAGGAAAGATCAATTTCCCCTACCTTTCATTGATCAGATGCTGGAGAGGTTGGCTGGTCATGAGTTTTATTGCTTCCCTGGATGGCATGTCTGGGTATTTCCATATTCCTATTGCACCAGAGGATCAGGCGAAGACACATTCACTTGACCCTTCGGCACTTTTGCTTACCGGAGGATTCCATTCGGGCTGTGTAATGCACCGGCGACCTTCCAGAGATGCATGATGGAGATCTTCGACCGACTGGTCGGAGAGATCATGGAAGTCTTCATGGATGACTTCTCGGTTTATGGAGACTCCTTCACTCATTGTCTCCATAACCTGGAACTCGTTCTGAAGAGGTGTGAGGAGACTAATCTGGCACTCAGCTGGGAGAAGTGCCATTTTATGGTCCGTGAGGGGATTGTGCTCGGGCACAAGATCTCCAAGCAGGGGATTAAGGTGGATCGCGCGAAGATTGAGACGATCAATAAGCTACCTCCTCCCGTTTCTGTGAAGGGGATTCGCAGCTTTCTGGGTCATGCAGGCTTCTACCGGTGCTTCATTAAAGATTTCTCGAAGATTGCCCTGCCTCTGACCAAGCTGCTGGAGAAGGATGCACAATTCCAGGTCACTCCCGAGTGCACAGCTGCATTCGAGACTCTAAAGGAGAAGCTTACCCATGCACCTATCATGGTGACTCCTGACTGGTCTCTCCCTTTTGAGCTGATGTGCGATGCGAGTGACTATGCAGTCGGAGCAGTTCTGGGTCAGAGACGCGAGAAGCACTTCCAGCCCATCTACTACGCGTCCAAGACCTTGAACGATGCACAGGAGAACTACACCACCACTGAGAAAGAGCTCCTTGCTGTGGTGTATGCATTTGATAAGTTCTGACCCTATCTGGTACTCTCCCATGTGGTGGTCTACACTGACCACTCGGCGATTCGCTACCTGATGAGCAAGGCTGACGCAAAGCCTAGGTTCATCCGCTAGATCCTGCTTCTACAGGAATTTGATATCGAAATCCGGGACAAGAAGGGAGCCGAGAATGTTGCTGCAGATCATCTATCACGGTTGGAAGCCCCTCCGGTGGACAACTTCGTGTAAGAGATCGATGACTCCTTCCGGGGTGAGAGATTGCTGGCGATGACACTGGTGGGAAGCGTGGTCCCTTGGTATTCTAACTTTGCCAATTATCTGGTAGGCAAGCAGCTACCAAAAGGGATGGCCACGCATGCAAAGCGCAAGTTCTTCTCCGACCTGAAACATTACTTCTGGGAGGATCCTTACCTCTTCAGGATCGGAGCAGATGGCGTGATCCGGCACTGTGTCATGGATCACGAGATGGGAGACATCCTGTCTCAATGCCACGAGGGGCCTACTGGAGGTCACCATGGAGGAAACCGCACGCCGCGGAAGGTGCTACCCTCGCTCTTCAAGGATACAGACACCTTCGCACGACAGTGCGACCGCTGCCAAAGGTCAGGTAACATTTTTGCCCGGGATGAGATTCCCCAACATATTTCTGTCATTTGTGAAATTTTTTATGTTTGGGGTATCGATTTCATGGGCCCATTCTCTCCATCTTTTGGCAATCTATACATTCTAGTTGCAGTGGACTACGTCTCGAGGTGGGCAGAAGCTCAAGCCATGCCCACCAATGATGCAAGACGGGTCTGCTCATTTCTGAAGCAGCTGTTCTCCCGGTTCGGGACACCCCGCGCCATCATTAGTGATAGAGGAACCCATTTTCAAGGGCAATTCACTAAACTCCTCTCTCGCTATGGTGTTAAGCATCAGGTGTCGGTGGCTTACCATCCCTAGTCAAATGGGCAAGCCGAGCTGACGAACCGGGAGCTTAAACGAATAATTGAAAGGACGGTGGATCAATCCCGCAAGGATTGGTCCACTAAGCTCGATAATACTCTTTGGGCATATAGGACGGCCTATAAAAACCCGATTGGCACTTCTCCCTATAGACTTGTCTATGGGAAGGCGTGTCATTTGCCAGTAGAGCTAGAGCACAAGGCCTTCTAGGCCCTTAAGCTGCTAAACATGGATTTGAGTGTTGCAGGTACTGAACATAAGTTGCAGCTGCTGGAGTTGGAGGAATGGCGTTACCACGCCTACGAGAACACCCTGCTCTACAAATAGAGAACCAAGCGTCTCCACGACGCTCGGTTGAGGGGCCCGAAGGAGTTTCAGGTCGATGACCGTGTTCTGCTCTTCAATGCACGCCTGAAACTCTTCCCGGGCAAGCTACGTTCGAGGTGGTCGGGACCCTTCACGGTCACCCAAGTTTTCCCGCACGGTACGGTGGAGATCAGCAATGCTCAATCCGAGCCATTCAAGGTGAATGGCCACCTCCTAAAGTTGTACTTGGGAGGTGCTGTCGAGCGCGCAGAGCTGCTGATCAAGCTCGAGGACCCTTAGTTCCTCTATTGGCGTCCAGCTAAAAGACGGTAAAGAAGCGCTTGTTGGGAGGCAACCCCACTACGGTTTGCATTTCTATCTTTTTTCCTTTTCAATTTTTGTCGGTTTTTTAGTCTGTGAGTCTGTCTGGAGTCTTTCTGGAATGTTTCACGTGCCACGGATGGTATATTTTTCTCTGTGGTGGTGTCTATTTTCAATACGGGGCACGAATGGTATTGGCTGTTCGAAATTGTGGTTTAAAAATCGGAGAAAAGGGCCCTCGGCAGTGAAATTACGGGCAGGTAAGGACGAATTACGGTCGTAATTTCTTTGCCCCTGCCCGTAATTAAAGCAGAAGAGGAAAAGTGGCTCGGCAGTGAAATTACGGCCAGGATCCAGCCAATTACGATCGTAATTCTGCCCGTAATTTTCACAGGGGGCAGAGTGCTCTCGGCATTAAAATTACGGGCTTGAAGGGGGCATTTACGGTCGTGATTCTGCCCGTAATTGCCCCCGGACATTTAAATTTGGAAAGACGACCGTAATCTCCCTCTCTCTCCTCACTTTTCTGGTCGGCCTCTCTCTCTCCTCTTCACCGGAAATCGCCATCCCTCCTTCTCAGTTGGTTTTCCGGCCATAACTCCCTCACCGGAGCTCCAAATAAAAATCCGAGACCACTCCCGTGCTCCTCTCGTCGGCGTGCTTAAGCCTATATCAGTGGGGTCGAGTTTGGCGGTGGTTTGGGTCGTCATAAAACCGCGACCCTTCGGTGTTCTTTCGGCCCGATCTCCCTCCTCCGACCTCCAATCGGAAAACCGCGACCACCACTGCATTCCTGGCATCCGGGGCCTCATTCCCCAAAATTTTGGGTGAGATTGGCGGTGGTGAAGTCGCCGGCAACAAAACTCCGGCGAGCCTTCCGGCGAGTTTCCCGGCGATTGTCGTGTTGTCTCACTCTTCCCTCACCTTCCCCGTGATACCTCCTTGTGCCTCCAGGTGTGCTTCTCTATTTTTACTTGTGAATTGTGGAGGATTGGTATTATGGGTTTAGCAAGGAAATTCTGGAATTGGGTTGTGCTTGAATTAATTCGGTAGGCCTAAGGTATTGCATGATTTGTTTGTTCCTCCTTTGGTTGGCCTACCGGGTAACATGAGTTGTGATTGTCCCACTTGGAGCCTAATTTGCTGTCCGGGTTTATGATCCGAGGGCTCCAAGTGCATTTAAGTTTGTGTGAATGGTGAATGGTTTTGAATGTTTTTCCTCTCTTGGGGCCTAGTCCACTGTCCGAATTTATGATTCGAGGGCCCCGAGTGTGGATAATTGTGTACTCACCATTGACAAATTTCCGTGTATATTGTTGTGCTTTTGCTGCTTTTTGGTTGGAGGACCATGAACACTTACCTGAACATGCTCGACGCCGACCACAGGAAGACTCTGCGGGACATCCGACGCCGCAAAGTCGTTCAGCACCATTACCTCGATTTTGCGGTCTTCGAGGAGCTGGGTGCTCGCAAGGCAATGGAGGTTGCCATCCGCTCTTACCCTTGGGCCGCCTCCTCTACCTTGCTGAGCCGATTTATCAGGAGCTCCTCTGGGAGTTCTATTCCACCTTCGAGCACTTCCAGACCCATGCAGGCGAGCACGGCAACGCCATTCAGTTTCGACTTGGCGGGGAGTCTTACTCCCTCAACTATGATGACTTCGGTCGGGCACTAGGGCTCCTTCCACCATTCGCCTGCCACCTGGCCATCGAAGAGAACAACAGTCCCATCTTTCGGGACCAGCAATTCTTCGAGAGGATCTGCCTCCCGGAGTTCGCAGGCCCTGTGTTCACACCGGGCTACACCACAGCTACTCAGCTGCGCCCAGAGTGGCGCATCCTCAACCAGCTGTTAGGGAAATCTTACACCCCCAGCGATGGCTCCACAAGTCATCTTCAGCTCCGCACCTTGCACTGCCTGCACTCCATCAGCCAGGAGGAAGACAATCTTCATTTGTCCTCTCTTATCGCTAGGACGGTCGCCAAGGCTTCTCGCTGTGGTCGTGCTCTGGCTTGTGGGCCGGTGGTCACTGCCCTGGCGCGTTACTTCAACATCGACCTCTCCGGGTTCACTGTCATACTGCCACCGACACCCTTCTCCAGGGACACCCTACGACGCTTGCTGATACTGCAGCGCGATAGGGACGTGACATGGATCTGGGGACTGCCTCGACCTGTTCCTCATGCAACAGAGGGCGAGGATCTCCCCGAGTCGAGCGATGCTGCCACTCGTCGTACCATTAGTCGGACCAACCGTCGGACCACACCTTCAGCAGCTGGCGCCTCCACTTCCGCTGCCGGCCCGTCTGCTGCTGCACCCACCTCCTACATTGCTGAGCAGCTGGCAGCCCTTTCCTGCCAGAACGAGCAGATCCTTGCTGGCCAGGAGCACATCAACGCCCGACTCGACCGTGAGCGCAAAGTTTGGTGCCGCATCATTTCGGCTCAGCATTACATGATGAGCTACTTGGACATGGACCCTGCTGCTGTTAGCTACCCTTGGGAGGCTTCCCCGGGGCATGAGGACTTCTACCCGCCTCCCACTGGCGATGGAGGCGATGAGAACTGAGCTGGCTCTGTCTAATGGCCCATTGAGTGGGGCCCTGCATTTGTCTTTCTTTCCAGACTAAGACTCCATATTGTGTTTCCTTTTCTCTTATCTTGTTTCTTTGGATTGTAGCTTTGGAACTATGGTTTCTTTCACCCCATGTGTGTGTTTTGCTGACTATAGCTCTATGCCGTTGGACTGGTCTGCCCTCCAGTCCCCGTTCCTGACCACTGTTTCACGGTAACATCATTCCCCTTCCCTCTGCTCCATTGAGGACACTGTCGCATTTAAGTGTGGGGGGGTTCTTTGTATTTATTGGAACGTATATATGTGTGCTTGGAGCCTAGTCCGCTGTCCAAATCTCGAGATTTGAGGGCTCCAAGCACTGTTGTTTGCTTGATCACATTGGCACTATGGTTTAATTGGTGAATCGAATGGCTTTTGAATTAATGCATGACAACTGGATTGTGACTAGGATAACCTATAATGATGACTGAGACATGTAGTAATTTTGTGTAGGAGTTCAGTTTTTCAACTGTTTGCTTACCAACTATGACTTGGATTGATCACTTTCTCTTGATAGTCGTTTATGCATCTAGTTCAGGGAATCAGAATGAGAGATAGAGCATATAGGTAGCCATATGAGATTTGAGCCTGCTCGTTTCTTTCTTGTGCGATAGTTCCCTCTTCCATGATGTGTAGCATTCGCGTTATCATTAGCTAAGATGATGGAGTCATAGGATTAGCCCACGACCAAATTGACTGTCCTGGTGTGTCATACCCCCTAGTTAGCCCCTTTGAGCCGTGTCGCATCCTTTCTTTCGGTCTACAATGAAAAATCACCCTTTTGCATCTCTTAGAAGGTTCCACATAGTGTTTTTTACATGTTCTCTGCTATTCTGCTAATTGTAATGTGAGGGTTGGAGGTAGTTCTTAAAAGGTTGGGCAACTGTGTTTGAAAAATGTGCATAGGTGGTGGTTCTCTCAAGAAATGGAAAAAAAATTGAATGAAAGCAAAAGAGAGCCACCACCACAAAAATCTGGATAATGCCCATTAAGTAGTGTTTCTTAGCAGTCTGGCTTGGAAACACTAACATTGACTGTGAGTTTGTTGGGTTTGGAAATGTGGAACCTTGTGTTATGAATACTTCCACCACCTAAAAGGCCTTTTCCCCATGTCCTAGACCCTAGCCAGTCATTTGAACCTGTGTCTAAGACCTCCGGATTAGTTAGTGATGACACCCATTTTTGTGAGCTCTAACACTTAGAGGTTGTCGTCATGGTGAAGAGATGTTAGGGATTGAGGGAATAAGTATGCGCATTTTTCGCATCAAATAGTCCTGACCCCACTGGTCGAGAGTGAGCGATTCATTTCCTTGTTCTTTACACTCTTTACCTCGGTGAGGACCTAGATGGCTCGGTCTTGATTCTAATGTCTTGAGTTTTATGCATGAGTTGACTGTCTTGAATAAGTGGTTGAGTCAAGTCTAGGTTGGTTCGTGAACAGAAGGGAAACTCCTCCTTTACTCGATTTTGCTGCACTCGAATGTCCTCTGTGGTGGTTGTCCAGGTTGCGGTTGAAGTTGTTCAGGTGTTGATGTTTGAAAGCCAGTATGATTCCCGTGTCTCGTGCCTATGTGATATGTCCCCAAGGGGTTGCATGATTGAGATATTTCGAGCTTACCTTGTATCTGACTTGGTTTGCTTGGGGACAAGCAAACGGTTAAGTGTGGGGGAATTTGATAGCATCGTATTTGCACATGTTTTCACCCTTGTTTCCTGACCATTTTAGCTCGAATTTGTCTTTCCTTGGCCTATTTTATGCTAGGTTATGTTTTTTTCGGCGTATTTCAGGTCCTAGCGAGTAAAGAGGTGCATAGGCGCAAGTTTCGGGTCATTTGGAGGTCAGGTTGCGTTTCAAAGCAGTAATTACTGACGGTAATTGGAAAATTACGACCGTAAATCCTCTCTTCCGAGTCAAGCGAAACGCTAGTTTTGGGCAATTACGAGCAGACCATGATTACGACCGTAATTCGGCCCGTAATTCGCCCAGAATCGGGTTTTTGAGGCAAATTCGAGCCAAAACAGGGGGATCGACTTTTCAGAGCAAAAACAGAGCCCTAGAGAGAGAAAGTGCAAAGAACACACCCTAGAAGCAATCTTGGAGCTGGGTTTCATCAAATCGAGCTTGGAGATCATCATAGGAGTGAAAATCATCATCCCAGAGCAGATTATTCCCATTGTTATGAGTATGGCTGCTTTGTATTCTGATTTTCTCTCTCTCTATGGAGTAGACCCTTCTCTCACTTGGGTATGAAGAACCCTAGCTTCATGTGTTAGGGATCTTGATTGTAATGACTTGGGATGATTATACTGTTTGGTTTTAATCGAATGATGCATGATTCATTGAATTAATTGAAGTCTGATCAGCTTTTCTCGATTTCTGCTGCAACCCGAGATAGATAGAATCTAATTAGGTTGTTAGAGCTTCATCATTCGGTAGTGGTAGATTGGTTATACGAGAGTTAATCAATCTACTGCTTTGTGCTGGAATCCAATTCCAGTAGTGGAGTTCTGTGTTCATAGCCTCAGCTTTCTATCCCGGTGAAGACTAGTCGTCTACCGGGTAGTTGGACTGAGAGGGCTTGGTCAGCTTAAGAGATTCCAAGCTACTGCCGGATCTTCCGCAGTTTAATCAACAGTAGATCAACCCAGGGTAATTACAATTGAGACCTAACTAAGGAGCTAGGGGGACTCATTCCCGAGTGACTCTTCCTTGCTTCAGAAAATCGAACCATTTTCTGCTTTCTTACTGCTTTAGTTAAAACCACAATCACACGCCTTAGTTTGCTAGATAATAGATAATCATGGAGTAGGCAGTAGATCTAGATCCCGGGTTGATATTTAGAACTTGCCACTTTACTGCATTCCCGGACTGCGATTACACTTGGTTGCAGTTTGGTGTTGTGTCGTAGCGTGTCATGCATCTAGTTCAGGGAATCAGAATGAGAGATAAAGCATATAGGTAGCCATGTGAGATTTGAGCATTCTCGTTTCTTTCTTGTGCGATAGTTCCCTCTTCCATGATGTGTAGCATTCACGTTGTCACTAGCTAAGATGATGGAGGCAAAGGAATAGCCCACAACCAAAGTGAATGTCCTGGTGTGTCATACCCCCAAGTCAGCCCCTTTGAGCCGTGTACTTTTCTTTCTTTCGCTCTACAATCGAAAATCACCCTTTTGCATCTCTTAGAAGGTTCCACATGGTGGTTTTTACATGTTCTCTGCTATTTTTGCTAAATATAATGTGAGGGTTGGAGGTAATGCTTAAAAGTTGGGCGTGAGTTTGAAAAATGTGCAGAGGTGGTGGTTCTCTCAATAAATGAAAAAAAGGAAAAAAATTAATGAAAGCTAAAGAGAGCCACTACCAAAAATCTGAATCATGCTCATTAACTAGTGTTTCTTAGCAGTCTGGCTTAGAGACACTAACATTATTGTGACCTCCTTTGCTCTTGTGCTCTAAAGAATTTGAGGAATGCAGAATGGCAGAAAGAAAGTAAGAGGTTTCATTGACTGTGAGTTTGTTTTGCTTGGAACTGTAGAACCTTGTGCTATGAATACGTCCACCACCTATAAGGTCTTTTCCCCATGTCCAACACCCTAGCCAGTCACTTGAACCTGTGTGGCTGTGTCTAAGAATTAGTTTGTGGTGACATCCCGTGTGTAAACTCTAACATTTAGAGCCTGCCATCATGGTGAAGAGACGTTATGATTTGAGAGAATAAGCATTGCGCATTTTTCGCATCAAATTGTCCTGACCCCACTGGTCGAGAGTGAGTGATTCATTTCCTTGTTCTTTATGCTCTCTACCCCGATGAGGACCTAGATGGCTCGGTCTTGATTCTGATGTCTTGAGTTTGATGCATGCGATGATTGTCTTGGTCAAGTGTTTGAGTCAAGTCTATGTTGGTTGGTGAACAGAAGGGGAACTCTTCCTTTACCCGATTTTGCTGCACTCGAATGTCTTCTGTGGTGGTCGTCCAGGTTGCTATTGAAGTTCTCCATATGTTAATGATCAAAAGCGGTATGATTCACGTGTTTTGTGCATATATGATATGTCCCCAAGGGTTGCATGATTGAGATGTTTTGAGCTTACCTTGTATCTGACTTGGTTTGCTTGGGGACAAGCAAATGGTTAAGTGTGGGGGGATTTAATAACGTCGTATTTGCAATTGTTTTCACCCTTGTTTCTTAACCATTTTGGCTCAAATTTGTGGTGTCTTGGCCTATTTTATGCTAGGTTGTGTTATTTTGTCATATTTCAAGTCCTAGCACGTAAAGTGAAGCATAGGCGCAAGTTTCAAGTCAATCGGAGATCATTTGGCAATTCGGGAGAAGAAACTCGAGCATGACCTGAAGAAGAATGAATTTATACCTCATATTATGGACAAATAATCATGTAATCTTGTCATGAAAAGAAAGAGGACGAGACTATGAGCGTCTGGGATCAAACGGCGACTGATTCGGAGTCCGGTTGAGGGAGAAACGAAGCATTAAACAGGAGCGGAGGAAGAAATACGGGCCGGAGAAATACGACCGTATTTTCCCCTCCCATGCCCGTATTTTTACTGCCGAGAGGAGCCTTGGATGCGCTGAAACTTAACCAAAACGCTCGTTTTGGGCAAAATACGGGCAGGGAAGAATTACGACCGGGTTTTAGCCAGTATTTCGCCCAGAATCGGGTTTTTGAGGCAGATTCGAGCCAATGGAGAGAGAGTGGACTTTTTGGAGCAAAAACAGAGTTTTAGAGAGAGAAAGTGCGAAGAACAAACCCTAGAAGCTATTTGGAGTGGATTTCTCACCATTGAAGCCCAGATTGCATCCCTAGGAGTGAGATCATCATCCCGGAGCAGATTATCCTGATTGTTATGAGTATGACTACTCTGATTTCTGTTTTCCTCTCTCTCTCTATGGAGTAGAACCTTCTCTCACTTGGGTATGAAGAACCCTAGTTCCATGTGTTAGGGATCTTGATTGTAATAACTTGGGATTGTTATACTGATTGATTTTAATCGATTGATGCATGATTTATTGAGTCAATTGAAGTCTGATCACATTTTCTTGATTTCTGCTGCAACTTGAGATAGATAGAATCTGATTAGGTTGTTAGAGCTTCATCAATCGGTAGTGGTAGATCGATTATACGAGAGTTAATCGATTTACTGTTTTGTACTGGAATCCAATTCCAGTAGTGGAGTTCTGCGTTCATAGCCTCAGCTTTCTATCTCGGTGAAGATTAGTCGTATGCCGGGTAGTTGGACTGAGAGGGCTTGGTCAGCTTAAGAGATTCCAAGCTACTGTCGGATCTTCCGCAGTTTAATCAACAGTTAATCAACCCAGGGTAATTACAACTGTGACCTAACTAAGGAGCTAGGGGGACTCATTCCCGAGTGACTCTTTCCTTGCTTTAGAAAACCGAACCATTTCCTGCTTTCTTACTGCTTTTAGTTAAACTCACAATCACTCGACTTATTTTTCTAGATAATAGATATTCACGGCGTAGGCAGTAGATCTAGACCCCGGGTTGGCAAATAGAGCTTGCCTGTTACTGCATTTCCGGACTGCGATTACACTTGGTGGCAGTTTGGTGTTGTGTTTTAGCATGTCATGGGTCTACATCTATTGTCCATTAGTTTTTCCATAATAGTTATTAATTGTCTATTAAGTATTCATCTATTGTTTATTGCTTTCCCTATTGCAACAATTACTCATCTCGAAATACTATTGACGAAATAATAAGTTGTCATCTTCCACCGTTTGCCACGATTGCCACTGAAGATCCATACATTATCTATTATACACAATCCTCTCCAAACACTTTTGGTCGAATCCGAAATTTTATCCATCCAGCATGTCCCAAGACAGCTATCAAAAATCCATACCAAATCTGCTTTGTGTTGCTGAATTTTGTATCGAGACTGAGTTTCATATTGTTTAGCATTTTCTTATCTCTCTTTTCCTTTTGGTTAAGCATGATAATTGAACTCAAACTCATGGGTATCCAACATAATGCGTCCAGGTCAAAGCAACTTTGAAGCCGACTTTAGTATCATTTTCCTTTTGGTTGAGAACCCAAACCTATGGGTATCCAACCTAGCTAATTCAACCTGATCAAAACAACTTGAACCCAGTGTTTACAAGTCTTCTTGCGGGAGTGATTTTTATTTGCTTTTGTAATTGGTGGGTCGAGTCGGTTGTGAATTTGTTACAAACTTGGTTGAACCTAATCAAAGAGAGTTGAAAATGATGTTGCCGAATTATGGGTCACGAGCGAGTTTTATTCCCTTCACTGTCTGTTAATTTGTCATTTTTTAGAATGAAATTAAACTCAAACCCGTGGGTATTCAACCTAATTCGACCCCGGCCAAAGTGAGTTTAACCCCCTCAAACCTGTGGTTAATCCTGAAAATCCATAAAAAGAAGAATCAAGATGAACTTAAAAAAACAAAGCAAAAAAATTACAAACTAGAGAGAAGATTAAACATAGAAATCATTTCCTCGATGACCCTTCTCCCTTATTAAAGTTAATTGTTGCGTTCACTGGATGGAGTTGTAGATAACAAACTCTTTCTTTTTGGCTCAAAATTCAAACTACCAATCTTTAAAGAGGGTTGTTATTTACCGCCAGAGACTTTATTATTTGTCGCCCATATTTTACATTAAAATGTCATTTTTGCCCTTTAATGCAAACTCGTAACCAACCCTCACACTACCGGCAGACCACCATCGCCAATGCCAAACCACCATCGTCAGAGCCAACTACCAGAAGACCACAACGTCGGAACCAACCATTGTCAGACCATCTCTCCCCAAAAGGATCCTGCCCGACGCCGGAGGGCGTACCCCGCCCGACCCAGGAGGGCGTACCCCGTCCGACAGAGACGGGCGGACCGCGCAGCTCCCTCAAAACTCCAACGTCGGACTGCTCCTGCCCCCTCGAAATCCAGCTTCAGACTAGCTTCCGTCGTCGATCAAAAATTGTCATTGATGCTGGACTTCCTTCACAACAACAGTTACGGATCGAGAGCGGGACTCGTGGTCGATTTCCCAATTGATGCCGAGAAAAAAGTGCAAGGGGAATCGTGGCCAGGATTTTGGCAAGCAAAATGTGGAATTAAGTAAATTGTAAATGAAATTAAACATGGGTTATGAAATTAGACGTGTTAATTAAGGGAACTTTTTATGGTTGTTAATTTAAAAGTTATAAATTTACCATAAAAAACCTCCTCTATTTAATATTCTACCAAAAATATATCAACGAGAAAATCAATCTTACCTTATAAAACTCCCTTTAATTTGCTTAATTATCATATTTATAAATATTTAAAACAATATAACTTTTAATCACCGACGACCCATCTGACGAGGGAGATCGGACCCCGTCCAACCCGGAGATCGGACTCCGTTCGACGTCGACGGGCGGACCCCGTCCAAACTCCAACGTCGGACCGAGGGTCTCTATCCATCTCCTTCCGAGGTCTTGCTCCCATGGTGATTCCCTCGCGGCAGCCGCCACGCAAAAACAAGAAGATTGAGAGTCGGGAAGCGGAAGAAGATGGTGAAGGTTAATCGTTGCCAGAAATTGATGGGAAAAAAGAGGAAGGCGAGGGCGATTGTCGCCGGGATTTGAGGAACAGAAAAGAGGAAGGTGAGGTGCGGCAGGTTTGTTTCTCCACAGAGGCGGCAGCAAAACCCGGCCAATGGTTCCGGCGACAGGTTGGGCATTTTAGTTAGATTTCTAAAGTGTCGAAGGGCAAAATTGACCATTTTTACAAAACGATGGCAGCAAAAAGTAAATACAGGGACGGAAAAAATTAAATACACGGACGGCAAATAGCGATTCATATCTTTAAATTATCATGTTCTCTCTCAACGCGAATTGATAGCGAGCGGGCATTATTGGGCATATGCTTGTTATGAAAATAAAAGATAATACTAAAAAAGAGCCTACCGCCTGCGTCCCAAAAAACAAAATTTAGGCAGGGGACAAAGCCCCAATAGAAAAGAATTCACAGAAAATCTGTTGGGGGTGCTCCAAATCATTTGTTCAGGCTTAGCTGTTATGTGTGTATTAGACTACTCTGCAAAGCAGTAGTTCTTCATCGCATTGTGACAGATTATAGACATGGCAATGAGGACACAAATACCAATGAAGGTATTCGTAAACAATAATACCAATCCCGGCCAAGGGTCGGGCCCAAAGCTAGTAGAGAAAGGTGTGCTTTCATTTCTTCCTATAAAGCTAGGCCCCTGATAGGAAAAGAAAAATAAGAAGAGGGCCAAAGGCCCGACCTAGGTAGCCTCGCGGGCCGGAAGGAAATGAAACCTGAAAAATGAAAACAAGAAAGACGCTGTGCCTGTGTCATGTGTGCCAATTGCCAAGCCCACCATTGATACTTGCACCTTTCCCTAGAAAGAAAGAAAGATAGAAAGAAAAGGGGAAATTAGAAATCACCCGCCAAGACTATTTTTTGCCCGGGATTTCACTTGCTGGGTTTCCCACCAAATCATCTGTTATGTATCCATATCGTCGTCTTCCTCCTCCTCTGGAATGAAGCGGAAGTCAGAAACCTCCCCATCAAGGTATGCCATTTTCTCCTTGTGTTTCTTTCTACATAGCTTCATCTGGATGCACGTTGGTGATCATAAACGCAAACCCTGATGTGAGATGAATCATTCATTCCCAGATTGACCCAGCCCCATGACGATAAAACCAGCAAGCAAAAGACTGACATTAGGGATGCTGCTGAAACAGACAATGTGAGAGTTTGAAACCTAGCTGCCATGGAGGCTAGGGTTTGTGAAGAGAGAAGATTTAGGGTTTGATTTTTGGGGGAATGTTGCATACTGCCTTCCATTCCATTTTCTCCAGAATATATATACAGAGATTAACACAGTGTTCTTCTTAATCTACTGTACTCTAACGGCTAACTATAACTAACAATTAAACTAATCCAATCAGCTATTTACACGTGTGCTAGGCGCACTTAAATCATCTGAAGCTTCTCTTCTTTCCAAACGGTGTCGCATCACTTTATTCCTCCGCGTATCAATTGAACGGGTGAAAGGAAGCCCGGTCCAACCGTGATCCGACCCGCTCCGCTTCAGTCTTCTTCTTCCTCTTGCAGAGTGTTCTTTTCCTTCTGCATTTCAGCTTTGATGAACTTCTCCATTAGAACACTCTGCTTCACACGCCCCCTCAAGATGGCGAGTACAAGCTATGTACTCCCAACTTGGAGAGCAAGAAAGTAAACCTGTCTGCAGAGAGCCCCTTGGTAAACAAGTCGGCCAATTGGTATTCTGTTCTGAGATGAGAAAGAGTGAGTAATCCCGATTGCAACCGTTCTCGCACAACATGGCAATCCACTTCGATGTGTTTTGTCCATTCATGAAAAAATGGATTCTCTGCTATATGAATAGCAAATTGATTATCACAGTATATCTTGACTGGTTGAGAATGTGAAACTCCATAAAAGGCAAGTAAGGCTTTAAGCCATTGAACTTCACATGATAATTGAGCAAGAGCTCTATACTCCGCTTCTGAGGAGGATCGAGACACAGTACCTTGTTTCTTACTCTTCCAGGTAACTAACGAACTTCCCAGAAAGGTGCAGTACCTAGTGACTGACTTCCTTGAGTCAGGACATGTTGCCCAGTCTGAGTCTGAATAGCCACTTAGCTGAAGGTTTGAAGATGAAGAGAACCATAATCCCTGTGCTGGACATCCCTTCAAATACCTGAAGATCCTGTGTAAAGCTTTTAAGTGTACAGTAGTGGGACAATCCTGAAATTGGCTTAGCTGTTGTACCGGAAAGCAAATATCAGGTCTTGTTGAGGTCAGATACTGCAACTGCCCAAGCAAGTGCCTAAAAACAGATCCATCTTCTAGTTTTGTTCCATCACTAGTAGATAGTGCAGTCTTCATACTCATAGGAGTCTTAGCTAGTTTACATTCCAAGAAATCTGCATTCTCCAACATCTCAAGGCAGAACTTTCTTTGACACAAAGAAATTCCAGCATTTGTCTTAGCTATTTCCAGCCCTAGGAAATATTTGAGATTCCCCAAGTCTTTTACTTTGAACCCCTGCTGCAACTGACCTTTGACACGCTGAATATCCTCCAAGTTTGGTCCTGCTACAATGATATCATCAACGTAGATAACAAGAATCACAGTGGCTGATTTGAACACTGAGTAATCTTCATAGGACTGTGTAAATCCTATCTTAGTCAAATACTCACTCAGCTTTAAGTACCACTGCCTACTTGCCTGCTTGAGACCATAAATTGACTTCTTTAACCTGCAAACCTTTCCTTGCAGGTGACTTAGTTCTCTTAAACCGGGTGGCAATTCCATGTAAACCTCCTCCTCTAAGTCACCATGCAAGAAAGCATTGCTGACATCAATCTGGTGAAGGTGCCAGTGTTTAGCAGCAGCAACAGCTAATAGAATCTTGACCGAATTGATCTTAGCAACAGGGGAAAATGTGTCAACAAAATCTACTCCATATGTCTGAGTATACCCCTTTGCAACAACTCGAGCCCTGAACCTTTCCACAGAACCATCATGAAGGAATTTGGTTTTCTAAACCCATTTAGACCCAACAGGATGGACATTCACAGGTCTGTCCACAATATCCCAGGTGTTGTTAGCCTCAAGAGCTGTAACCTCCTCCTTCATTGCTGCCTGCCACCAGGAATGAGGAGCTGCTTGGCTGTAAGTCTGGGGGTCTGAGTTGAGGGAGATGGAGAGGATGTAAGACTTGTGGGAAGGAGATAAATGGGAATAATCCAGAGAGTGGGATAGAGGATAAAGAAGTTTGGAATCAAAAGTAGAAGAGTCAGAATGAGAAAGAAAAGAAGCGTGGAAAGCCTCACTGGTTTCCTCAGGGCAATGGGAGGAGTGGGGGATGGAGGTGGGGAAGAAGAAGGGGAAGAGAATGGGGTAGGGGATGGTGAGGGTGGTGGTGTAGGACCTGGTGTGGGAACAGGTGTAGAACCTAGTGTGGAAACAGGTGTAGAACCTGGTGTGGAAACAGGTGTAGAGTAGGGAGTAGGAGAAGAAGGAACAAATTCAGGGTCTGAGGTTTCATGACTGTGGTGATCAGGAGAAAATGGAGTATCAGGAAACAGGTCTGAATGAGGAAAAGAGGGGACTGGAGAAGGTGTGGTAGTAGGAGTAGGGGAAGAGGAAAGGAAAGGGAAAATGTGCTCATAGAACTCCACATCCCTGCTGGTGAATACAGTATGAGTCTCCAAGTCATACAATTTAAAACCTTTAATGCCATAAGCATAACCAAGGAATACTGTTTTGATTGCTCTGGAAGCAAACTTAGGCTTGTGAGGTTGTACATTGGTGGCAAAGGCAAGACAACCAAACACCCTCAGATCACTATAATCTGGTGGGACTCTTTACAGACACTCAAAGGGTGATTTACCATCCAAAACAGGAGTGGGAATCCGGTTTATCAGATAGGATGCATGCAAAACAAAATGGCTCCAAAAACTGGTTGGGAGGCCTGACTGGAATTTCAATGACCTAGCAACATTTAACAGGTTTTGATGTTTCCTCTCAACCCTGCCATTTTGTTGTGCAGTATGTACACAGCTTAACTCATGGATCATTCCATGTTGTTGATAAAAAGCATCCATCTTAAACTCAAGTCCTTGGTCTGATCTAACAATCTTAACCTTGGTATTGAACTGAGTTGCTACCATTGCACAAAATGATTGCAGTAAGTGTCTAGCTTCTGATTTAGAGTGCATCAAGTAAAGACAAGTGCAACGGCTGTAGTCATCCACAACAGTCAAAAAATACTGAAAACCATCCATAGAAATCACATTCACTGATCCCCAAATATCAGTATGTATCATGTCAAAGGGAGACTTAGAATGAGAGGAACTTTTAGAAAATGGTAAACGTTTCTGCTTAGAGAAATGACAAATCTCACAAGCTAAGGAATCCGGAACTTCAATCTCATTACAAACATTCTTAATATTCTTCAATCTATCTAAAGACAGATGGCCTAATCTCTGATGCCATAGACTGGGACTGTGACTGCTGCTCAATCCAAGAATTTCTGGTTTGCAAATCTCTCCTGGGCCACTAGATTCTCCAAGAAGGTAAAGACCTCTACTTACTGGGATTAAACCAATCCTCTGTTGAGATATAAGGTCCTGGACATAACAAAAAGTGGATTGAAATAAGAGTGAGACTGGGCTGTTCTTTGTTAATTGGCTAACTGAGATTAAATTGTAGGAAAAAGAGGGAACCAGTAAAACTTTGGTCAGTAAGATGCCACAAGGGATTTTCACTATCCCTACATGTGTGACTGTGGCCTATTGGCCATTTGGTAAAGTCACATACATGTTGCTAACTGACCTACATCTGAGAAATAAGCTAAGTGAACATATAATATGATCACTAGCTCCTGTATCCAGAACCCCACACACACTTATCAGTTCTGGTTTGAGAAGTAGAAAAGATTGATTTACCTGTCATGGGAACAGAACCAGCCATAAGAGAATTAGCTTGTGAACCACCTTGTGTGGGTGTGGAAGACTGCAGCAAGGCTTTGAGTCTGTGAAGCTCATCAGCTGTGAAACCTGAGAAGGTTGGTGAGTGTGGTTCATGTTGACTCACAGGACTAGTGGGGGAATATGAACTTGCTCCTCCTGCAGTATTGCCCTCTCCACTTACCACATCAACTAAACCAGCAAACCCTCTTCCTCTGCCTGGGTTGCTACCAGGATTGTTACCCAGGAGTCCATTCATAGGTTTTAACTTCCAGCAGTCTTCCTTCACGTGATTATCCTTC